GGTGAATGCGTATGAAGATATTGAAAGTGAGAAAAGAGTAGATAAGTCATCTTGGTGGTCGTTAATTACTTTTAAAGTTCAAAATCATAAATATTGATTTTTTTAATGAAAAATTTGAAATTATTCTTTCTTACAACACCTAGTAATATTACTCTTAATATGGCTCAAGGGCAATAACAAAGGCCTTTGTTGCCTATTGTTTTTTATGATTATTATTAAGAATATTACATGATTTCAATTTGAAGCCTACAATTGGTGTATCTTATTGTATTAATGAGTAAAAGAAATGAGAACTATTGGAATGTGTGCATGTGCATGTGATTGTACAAACTTAATCATGCATTTGTGCCAAATTGTGGTTTTTGAGTGTCATTGTATTCATGACAACAGGGAGTTGTGAGTACTAGTTAAGTGGATCTTCAATGACTGAAAACAATCAAAAATTGTATGACTAAACTGATATAACATGTTGCAGAGTAAGAGTATGTATACAAAAATTTCATTGGAACATTTGTGATTGGTTGTTGGATGTGTGAGAGGTAGGGGAAAAAAAAAAAAAAACATCTTTTAGAGAAATGTGTATATAATAAGTTACCGATTATCTTAAGTTTTAATTTAATAACTGACTTTAATACTTGGTTATAAAACTTTCTTGTGAACAAACTTGACCAACACTGGCTTTCAATTATCACCAAAAAAAACCTAAACTTCAAGTACTGATTGTATAGAATTCCCACATAAATGTTGTGAGCTAATCACACCCACATGCTTGAATGTGTCTTTACCACTCCATGTGCTTCTCATTGATTCCTAATAAAACAATCCAGAAATCTAACAGCATATTTATTGGAAAACCAAACAGAATATCTTACAATTTTACCACTCTCTTAATTGTGGGCTCTTTCAAGCTGTTAGCTTTTTCAGAGCCTCATTGCCCTTCTGCATGATCATCTAGACACATTTTTAGCTCCTTCATAAAAGAAAATTTGTTGCACATACCAACAAATTAGACTTTTAAATGCAATGAAAAACTTTGTGTAATGCTACAACTTATTTCATAGTTGGGTTTTTCTTCTCTCTCTCTCTCTCTTGTCACATTCTCATGCAAACAATTACATCTATTAATTATTAGTTCACAATTTTTATTACAGTACGTCTTGCAAGTGTGGAATTATTTTCAATCCAGAATCTGATCAGTTAATGAGTTTCTTCTTATTTGTATTTTTTTTATTTAGACACTCACATACTAATCTGTTAAGATTACTTTGATTTGGAAAGTAAAGCAACTAGTTTTTTGATTTTAATGTTCCCTTACTTCCTTTCGATTTGAACTATGCTTGATCCAGCCAACCTTGGAAAAAGAAAGTCCAATGAATATATTCATATTGTCAAGTGTGCAAAAAAATTTGATGAGACTTCAGAGCTATTAAAACAACTTTTTCTACTGTTCAATAAAATTGGAAGTAAGCTCCAACATCTACCCACATAATAAGGTGTTGGCTGCCCTTCTAATAACCCTTTTCATGTCAAGGGATAAAAAAGAAAAAAAAAAAAACAAAACAAAACAAAACAAAACAGAACAAACAAAAACAAAATTAGAATTACTACCAAGGTCAACATACTTAAACAAATCCAGAGTCAAGATTTAGAAATCACATTTGACTAAATCATTGTCAATGCTGTATGTTAATGCATTATGCACTAAAAACAATATTTGACATGAATTCAATGCTGAATAAAAACAATTACAATCAAAATTTCCAATTTAATTGTTAACCTTGGAGTTGTGTGATGACCTTACATATCTACTACTAAGGATGCATGAAGTATCATTTGGAATGAGCTATACAAATTGGGCTATTCTTCTCTTTCATAAAAGAGTTAACAAAGTCCTATTCATGCACAATGGTTTCTATTCTATTTCTTATTCTACATTCTCTTTGATTGTAAATCCATTTTTTAAGATACTATTGTGGTGGAACTAATCTCTTCCATACACTCTATGTAATTTGACTTGCTTACATTGAAACTCCTAGGTTTATTTTAATTCAATTGTAGAAATAAGTATGGTGTCTCCAAAAAGAAAGCCTTGTAATTTCTAGTATAACATTGTATTATTTATTTACTTTAGTTAAAGTTTTTATGATAACACATACTGTAAGTTTTTGGTATACATGATAATTTTTTAAAATTTAAAGACATGAATTTTTTAAACAAAAAAATGAATAATAAATAAACAATAATAATGATGTTTTATCTCTATAATACATGTACCATTTTTTTTAATGATATTCTTGAAGATTTTATTCAACTTAACATCATATACTCTAATAGAAGAAATATGATCTTTTAGATTTTGATATAAGAAAAATACTTATTACTTGCAAGGATTTTTTAATAACAATTTATTATACTAATATGGAAAACATTTATTATAAAAAAGTTATACTTTTATACTATAAGATATAAATTGTTGAATTCTTATTTTATTTTTTATGTTATAATATTATGTTAGGTCTTTCTTTGATTTGCTAGATTTAAAAAATTATCATATATATCAAAATCTATTACATTAAAAAAAAGCCAAAATTTATTATATGATTTTTAGATTTGGACACCACTAAGTAGACATCTTCCAATTATTACATAAACAGTTGTTATGGTCATGCGCATCATTCTTTTAACATTGAAAGAACCAAAAACAACAATTTAAGCAATAGTGAATGAGTTTGGATATCAAATACAACATTGAAGCAATAACAAATCCAAGCTCACCACCATCCATAAAGTTTGGTTTTATTGAGCTCATAGCTGCTCATACATGAAAAACAACATTCATTTCCACCTTGTAACAAACAGCTCACATTGAGTACAACAGAACATATTTTGGATTGCAAATATCATCTTCGATTCTTAAAATGGGACGTCAATACTCCAAAACTCTACAATCACATGTAATGATGTAATCATATAAAAATATATTTATATTTATATATATATAACACAATGTTCATCACATTTGACCAATCTCCGTAAGGGGGTGTGAAGAGCTGGATTGATTGCCATGTCACCTTCTTCCATGTATCAATGCAACGAATTTTCCCCCATTTGTATCTAAAAAGACAAAAAGAGGACTCACACGCAACAACAACCAGCAGATTTTTTTTTTGGGGGGGGGGGGGGGGGAGCAGAGGCTTCAGTCTTTGAGCAAACCCGGACTCCATCGACGTCTACGATGATGCAGCAGCATCGTGTCTGCTTGTCTCGAAACAAGCTGGCATGGTGCTCGGTGGACACACTCCCTCCTTCGGCGCTGAAAGGGGCCTCGACCTGGACTCTCTCCATTGCACCAGCAGTCTTTGCTCTGCAGGACACAACCACAATCAACAATCACAGGTTGGGCCAGTTTTGGTAAGGGTGGTGGGAATCAAGAAGCGAGGTGGGTCCACAACTTCAGACCCAACCCAACCCCACCGCTCCACACCCTCTGCCAAGCACTGCGCCTGTCCTTTTATCGTGCCACTGGAACGTGGGGGAGTTGTGCGAATAGTTGACCCTGAAATCCAGTAAAGTGTTTTTTTGTTTTGTCAGGGAGGCTCATTTTATCCCCAACGGCTATTGTTTTTCGCAAACGTGGTTAACAAGTTGAGGATGGTGTTGACGTGACGATGAGAATGTCTTTGGCCAAGTGGGTGCAAGCTCAACTCGTTGCATTATCAGGTATTCTCATCGACTCTCTGTTGGAGGATGTTGAGAAGCTGACAGTGCGCTAGTTTTGGTATTAAGTGGTGGGGGATGTGGAGGAGATTAGTGAGTTGGATTTAACATGTTTGCTCATATTGGATGCTTCCATGCCGGAGTTGTTTTTGTGTTATCCTTTAGGGGGGTCTGCGTTAGCAAGTAGATGATGAGAGACAGCGAGAGAGAGAGAGAGAGTGTAAAGTTAAGCCCCAAGGATTCTGGAATCACGGTATAATGACAGTCAACATAGCGGTGGAAGAACAGTTGAAAGTGGATCGAGGTGGGAGGCCACACATGGGAATCTGTAAGGGAAATCTAGGCCCAAGAAGTTACACGAAGGAGTCCAGATAAGCGATGTGAAGTGAGCTCAAGGAATTTATATCGCAACAGAACACCATGCAGAAATGCTTGCGGGAGATCTAGCGCTTGATCGCCTCGTGAGGCACGGCTACCAGGCCTCCGCGCATCCCAACAAGGTGACGCAAACACCGGGCCCGAATCTGGGCTACTGACACAGTCAGAAAAACAAATTTAACCTGAAACCGTGGCAGCAGCAGCTGCAGCAGGGGCCTAAGATCTTATTGCTCAGGGTGCGTAATCACGGGATAACTACAAAAGGCTTCATTAGGACGAGGCCACCTCCAGCGGCAAGGCGACAGAAGCTTTGGCAGCGCAGAACTTTGACTTTAAGATCAGGATGGCTTATCCTAGTGTCAAATAATGGCTAGAAAATGGTAGCCCTAAAACAGAAAACATGATGCTGCATGTGTGTTGATGACGAATTCCAGCAAGGGGTTGGTTCGTGTGAATCGATGTGTTTTAATAACTTCCTCTTCGTCTGTTTCTTCGCCTTCTCTTTTAAAAACATATTCAGCAACTTCAGGGAACGTGGAACTGGCGCCAACACAAACGGCTCCGTTTTTTTTTTTTTTTTTTTTTTTTTTTTTTATGTTTTCCCCGTCTTAACCCTGCTCTCTGCAAATTCCAGTAAGGACATTTGGAAGCTTGTGGATTCCCTCTCTACACTTACTACTCTATATTTGTTATACACCTAATTCTCAATATACCATGCAATGTTCACGTGATACATAAATAGGTTTTACGAGGGAAATTATAATAAAAATTGCAATGAATTTCACTCGGCGGATACGGCAAATGCCACGAGTATATGAAGTTTTAATTGAGACGTACACTGTTTTCTACTGTGGGGTCCATACTGATAGCTAATTCAGAAATAACCACAGCTTGTGTAGGGCTAGCACTGGTTCATCATACGGTCGTTTTCAACGCCTGTTTCTCCTCCTACCTACGCTTCTTCCAATCCCCTTTCCGCGATTCAAGTTCTTCTCTTTGCCTCGATACTGGTGCTTCTTGAGTTTAACTGAACGATCCTATTGTTTGCTATCCTCCGCAGCACGGTTCTCGTAGCAACTCGCCCGCAACCACATAAAGGAAAACACTCCCGGCACTCTAGAGTGGACAACGAGCTGAGTTCTGGGCGTAGTCACAGGTGCAGTGCGGAAGGTGTCGGTGACAGCTTGGAGAGAAGTCTGGGAAGAAGCGTGAGATTGCGACACGGATGGTGCATCGTGTAACTGCGTGTGCGCTAGCTTCATGATCGGTAGTAGAGGATTGTGCGGTGGTTTTGGGAACAAGTCGGGGGGATGGATTATACAGTGGTGGAAACTGCTGGACCGAGATTGTGGCGAATAGTTCTACCGACATTTAACTGAGCGGCACATGGTCTCTATTACTCCAAAGGTATACCCACCTCTCCTGCTGTCCTGAACTCTTCTCTGGTTTCGTCAGCCACACACTCGGTTAGAGAAGTTCGCCCTGAGAACTTCCACGGGGTGTTGTGGGTTCTACAGCAACTTCCAGTGTTCTTGAAGGGACAAAAAAGAATACGTTGCGTCTCCAATAAGGATTCTTAATCTTATCCCTGACTTTGAGTCGCTTTCGGATTGCTAGTCTGGTCGAAGAGTACCCTATGATAATAGAACTTGCACACTTGAGAGACATGTGCAATTTGAACAATGCATAGAGTTGTAGATTTTGCTAGATCCGAGTATTTTGATTAGGTTTTAGAAACATCCCTGAGGTTGTTTTCCAGACAGTGTTCCGTGTCGTAACTGTGAGTCCGTCCACTTTCAAATCGTGACACTACTTTTGGGTATATTCACAGCTCAAACACTATTTACTCTCAGTGAAGTTTTCGATCGGTAACAAAGCTCACTGCTATTCTAAATGGAAATAAACCTTTTTTTTCAAATGTCATTTTCGTGCTCTACCGAATAGTTCACACAAGCAGTGATCCAGTGAAATCTGTTCGGTTGGGCAAAGGTGCATTTCCATTACATTCCTAGGTGTCATGTAACAAGTCTCTTTTGACAAGTTATTTCTTCACTCTCACAGAAAATCGGTACTTTTTCATGGTGCCCCGAAGCCAAGCACGAAGCTGCCTTACTTGTCTAGCTGGAAAATGGAGCGGAGATGTAGACGTATATGGTTCATTCTTTAGGACCGGAGCTAGTAACTCTCCATGCTGGACTTGGGTGGATTGAAAGTTTGGTCGCGAGTTGAGTTCAATGGATGAGTCAAAGGCCGCTGCTGCTAAAGCCAGGGACCAGAGGCATCAAGGGTCGTATGCTATTTTGAACGTCAGTTCAACTCAGGATGAACTCAATGCTGCGCTAATTCAAGCTGCTAGTGAGGGTAACCACCTGATATTGAATCTACTGATAGATGCAGGTGCAACAAACCTGGTGGGCGCCATGACGTGTGCTGGCTGGTCTGGCCACGTTCACGTCGTAGATGCACTTATCAAGCTTACTCGATCGGTTTCCTTCGGTGCTGCCTTTGTTGGGGCACTAGTTGGTCTGCAGAAAGATATGGTTGATCATGTGGTCCATGTCGCAGACAAACATGGGCTTGACAAGTGCCTTCTCATGGGAGCAGCTCGCATTTGGAGCTGCAGCACTGTGGAGGAAGTTAAGTTCTTACTGTATGCCATCCAGCGCCTGGTGGACGCCGGAGCGAAGAGCTTTCAAAGGGCGATGCAAGTGAGCTGTGGCGATGCTGTTATCGAGTATTGGAATGGAGATATTTTTATGCACAAAGCTCAGATCCTTCAAAGATTAGTGGTTTTAGGGTCCAACCATCTAACTCCAGATTTCTTCGGACGGATCCTCTTGATGATTTGCGTAACCTTTCTTTGTAAGTTACGGAAGTGCCATGAGAAGACGTGTGAAGGTCCGGCTGGGATAACAAAACAGTACTGCAAATCTGGAGAGGATTTGAGGTGTGCAACCATTGTGCAGGACATGATCAACGTCCTGTCAGTTGTTTGTAAGAATGGGGCAGCGGACCTCATCAGCAGCCGATTACTTGATGTTGCCTATGGAAGTTTTGATGATATAAGGCGATTGCTGCACATTTTTGAACCACATTTGGAAACCTGTAGTTCCGAGTGGCCACTGAAAATGCTCCAGTTCATGCTTATCGACTGTGGTATCAAGGATTTGAGCCCCACAGTAACTACACTTCCTGCATTCCAGGCAGCTCGGCTGAACGTTCTTCTTCCGGTAGTAAAATGCTTTTTTGAACTACAGTGTTTCGACGCTGCATACGTCTACCTGGATTTGTCGATCACTTTCTGTCAAATAGACGCCATCCGATATATTCTGAGAGTCATTCCTAAGCCACCTGACACGGCAAATCTGATCCAGGCGGTTCGAGCTGCAGCCTCGAACACAAGGGGTCCACCCCGTGGGCCACAAGGAGTTCTTTGTGCTCTTCACTCAAACTTCCTTTGTAATGAGACTGAAACTTTGGCTGAAGCTGCTAAGTTAGCAGAGCTACCAGAAACTGACGTGTCTGTGAAAATGGCGTTGAGGTCGGAGTGGTCCCAGCAAGCGTTTAATGAAGGAATTCAAGCTGGGCAGAGGCATTTTTTGAACTGGATGCTTGTCAGGAAGCACGCATTGTCACCATTGCGAGTGGGTGAGCTGCCACTGGAAATACAAGTTGCGATCGGGTATTTTCCTTTGTACAGAGACTGCTTGAATACTCCTGGCAGTCTCATATCACAAAGACAGCGGGGGGAGGTGGTGGTAGCTTTGCAACAACTTTGTCAAGGGAGTGGGAAATTCACTTACTCCACTTTAATGAGCGCCGACAAGAGATTGCTGTTGTCCCTGCTAGCTGCACATCTTCCTGCATGGTGCCGTTCTCCGGAGTTCAAACGTAGAGTGTTCACTGGATTCTAACTTTAGCTTGGTAACAGCGCACCATACACACTTCGAGCTGAGCAGATTGTGACGCACGGATGAGGAGCCTCTCTTTTCGTTCTTTTTTTTGGTTTTTTTATTGTTTACCAGCCTCTAGTTCGGCAAGAACAACTGCTCTTTAATTAAACATCTTAACCAGTTTGAGAGGGATCTTTCAGTCCACGTGTGTTATTTGAACGAGCAAACTTTTGAGCGCAGGATCGGGCAAACCTGGTTTCGTGCCGAGTCAGTACTTGGTATCATTCCAGACAGTATTGGCGATGTCTTCGCCTGTGAAACGTCGGGCTGCGTAGCACCGCTCTCAATCCGAAATTTCCCAGAATAAAATTATGTTCTTAGCAGCAGATTTGAGGTGCTGCCTCAATTCAAGTGATTGTTTAGGGCCATCAATTCAAGACGTTTAGAGAGTTCTTGTTGATTGTGGCACATAGAAGCTCATTTGAAGATAGGCACCCAAGTAAAAAGTATCCAATAAAATATCTTTTCTATGAGTAACTCGCAGACCGACTGCCGGTGCCGATTGACTCTTCGAATCCCACTACTGGCACACCGTAACTGACACACAGTTGCTCTCTTGTACTTCAATCAATCAATCTTTATTAAAACATATTATTTCGATCATGTAGTTCATTATCATGGTATTAGAGTGGGATTAACTTCCTAATAGTGAGCTCTGCTCCTAGATCTGATTCCATCTAGTTTTGTTTCTGGGTAGACAATAGATATATCTAGTGACGGTCTCAGTGCACTGTGAATTGAGAGTATTTGTAGATTTTTTCATTTCGACAGCATGTTGAGTCAACGATCACCATTAGTGAAAGTAACATATTGGAAACTTCCACATATTGTAGTTTGTGGAATCCAAGGATGAAGGCATTGTTGAAGAGAGAAGATATGTGGGACTTAGTGGAGAGAAAACTGACACAAGCATCGTTCCCAACAACTGTAGGTGCATCAACATTTGCTGCAGAGCAGTTCAAAATCCAAAAACTTAAAGCTCAGGCCCTGTTGGTGATGGTTGTGAAGGACGAATTCGTAGAGATTGTCTCAGATACCAAAGACCCCTCCAATACATGGCATTCCTTGAAAAACATATTCGAGGGTGAAGATTCATCTTAAATCTTGCTTCTAACTAGTCGCTTTCACAACATGCGTATGGAAGACGGAGGCTCAGTTGAAGAATACTTGCGTAATGCTAGAGATTTAAAGAGTAACCTAGCAGCCATGGGACACAAAATTGTAGACGAGACCTTAGTACGGTTGACCTTGAACGGACTTCCACTCAGCTACAAGGAAATAATCCAAAGTCTTAGCGTACTGGATAAGCTACCCACGTTTGCACTGATTAGCTCGAAGCTATTAAATGAGTCACATCGTCTTTCCCTATGCAGAAATTGCTTAGGAGAAGAGAGAGCATTGCTCACACAATTCCAGCGTTATCAACCTCGGCATCAAATTTTTGATCGTAAAAAACAACATACTCAAGGGAGAAGAGATCACAGCACACATAGTCGTATCAACCAACCCTTTAGATTTAAGCATAGAACCAGCAATCAAGGATTTCAGGGAGGAACTTCTTGTATCAGCTATCGAAAAACTTTCACTGCTTCGTATGCGGGTCACCAGATCACCTACCCCGAACCTGCCCCAACAGATTCACGATGCGTAAAGAAGAAAACAACATCAACCTACTTACCAGCGAAGAATAAGGGATCTTTAGTGCGATTGAAGACATCAATGTAGCACTCATTGAAATAGCTCACGAAATTGAGAAAAACCAACCCTAGTAGCTCGATTCGGGAGCAATGAGGCACGTAACTGGCAACAAAGAATTTCTGGAGATTTACACATCGAATAAGCAGGGCTTTGTAACAACGGTAGGAGGTGAAAAGCACGACATAGAAGGATCAAGCAGTACCAACATTTGTACAAAAGACGGAGAAATAAAACGTAGAGAAGTTCTTTATATGCCTAATCTAAAAAAAATCTGATTTCTATAGGCTGTTTAGCACAAACAAAAAAGTTGATCGCATTTTCTAATAACCAATGTTGAATTATGAGTAAACAAAACAAGCTAACACTCACAAGTCAGAGAGACAAGATGAATGGATTATACATTATTAACTGCGTTTCTTCAGCACCAAATAACAACAGAGTATACACCATCAAAACAGCATCTGTAACTATGATTGACAAAAACTAGGCTGAACTATGGCATCAAAGACTTGGTCATTTGATTGTGACAGCCTCCGACACCTCTCATAGAAGAGATTAGTCGAAGGTATGCCACTGATTCCTGCAATAAAAACAATATGTGAGCAATGTCTAGTCGGGAAGGAGCATCGTGGGAGATTCCCAAAAAAGTCAACCACAAGAACATAAAGAATTCTACAGTTACTACACGCTGATTTGGTTGGACCCATGAAGACTCCATCGCTGAACGGCTCCAGATATTGTGTCATTTTCACTGACGACTTTTACGAAGATCTTACATATTCTTTAAACGTAAAAAATTAGAAAATCTTCAAGTATTTCATCTGCTGAAACAGCTTACAGAAAATGAAACAAGACTAAAACTCAGTGGCTTGCAAACCGACCGCGAAGGAGAATTCACGTCCTCTGCATTTTAAAATTATTGAGAGCTGCAAGGCATTAAATGGCAGCTGACTTAACCTCATTTTCCAACCCAAAACGGCATCGCTGCAAGACAAAATCGTACAGTCTTTGAGCGGGCACGCAACACACTTGCAAGCTGTAACCTTCCTGGTTATTTATTGAGCAAAGTTGTAAATATAGAAAATTTCTTATTTAATCGAAGCCAAACCGTCGACAACCGAGGAGTCACCCCATACGAAAGGTACTATAACTCTAAACTGAATGTTAATTTTTTTAAAATCTTCGGTTGCCTTGTCTATGTACATGTGCTAAAAATTGACAGAAACAAACTTGAAAGCAAGACAAAGAAATGTCTGCTCATGGGTTTCGACAAGCAAACAAAAGCTTATCACCTGTTTGATCCATCAAATCAAAAAATTATATTGTCTCGAGATATTGCATGAAACGAATCAAAAATTGGTTGTAAGCATGCTACTAAAACTGCAAAAATAATGGAACAGGCAACTCAACTACCCACAAAGATCAACGACCAGACTGCATTTTCAAACCAACAAGCAGAGAACAGTTATCATCAAACAGCAGCACCATCACTTGAAGATGAATTGCCTCTCACCTAAATTTCTCATTACTAAGATAATTTCCATTCAAGAACTACAGATGCTCCAGAAAAACAGACAACTCCATATTCTATAATCTAAATCAACAACTTAGCTTAGAAACAAGAATTACAGGGAATTAAGAAATAGAGGAACAAAGATATCACAAACCCAGTATTAAATTAAAAGATTTCATAACTTTCTCAGCAGAACATGTAGAATCACAGAACTATGAACAAGCTATCAAACAAGAAGATTAGAAACAAGATATTCAAGATGAAGTAAAATCTATCACAAAAAAATGGTACTTGGGATATTATTGATCTACCCGAAGAAAAAAAAGGCCATCACATCTAAATGGATATTCAAGATAAAAGCAAAAAAACAATGGTAATGTCATGGACATACATATTTATTCCAATAATTACTTATATGATTAAATATAAGTAGGTAAAATAGATTAATTTCATAATATCTTTTAGAAAAGCTTTTTAGATGGTTCATAGATACAAATTAGATTATACATGTATTTATAGTTGATCAATAGGTTAGAAACTTGGTCAACAAGTTAGCCCATGTCACACATATTGGTAGCTTGTTTCACAAGCTAACTATGTGATACACATATATAAAACTTGCCTTGCAAGTTATAACAAGTGTCTCAGAATTTGGACACATATTAGAGGTCCTATAAAATGTTGTCATGTAGCTTTTAGTTAGATAGTATATATGGAAGTAAGTGGGAAGTTTTTACTCTTGTCAACACATTTCTAATCCTTAGTCTTGTTTCAAGACTTTCTAGTCTTATTGTCCTTCACAATAAACATTCTAATTCAATATATTACCATCTTTGAGTGATTTTTTAATCTTTTCGAGTGAAACAAGAGTGGATTGAGATTTTCTTTTTTTGAGATTTATATCCTTGACAAATAAATCAAATAAGTTGAAAGTATGTCTAATAGAAAAGAGATTTAAACAAACACAAGAAGTGGACTATTTTGACACTTATGCATTATTAGATGGAATATAATTAGAGTAATTTTTACACTTGCAACACAAAAGAAGTGGAAACTACATTTTTCTTGGTTTTCAAAATTCTACACAATGAGGTAAAATCTACAAATTAGTTTGTGCATTATATAGATTGAAGCAAACACCACAATTATGGTAATCTTGAATTGATTTTCATTTCATAAATGAAGGATTAGTCAAAAGCACAACAAATTATAACCTATATTACTCCATCAACAACAACCTATATACAATTGTACTTTTATATGTTAATGATCTTATTATTACTGGAGATAATAATATTGAAATCAGAAACTAACTAAACTTGGAGAAGCTACTGTATACCTTGGAACAGAACTAAAATGAAACAATTCTGGGATATGGCTATATCAAGAAAATTGTATTTACAAGCTACCTCACAGATTTGATGTGATCAACTGCAACCTAGCAAGAACACCAATGAGCTCTATTCTACAACTACAAGTTGACATGAATCAGCCTCTAGTGGATAAAATAAATTATCAATCCTTAATTGGTTGCCTCTTATATGCATCGATGATTTCAAAACCAGATATTTGCTTTGCAATGAATACACTCAGTCAACACACTCAACAGCCCCAAGAAGCTCACCTAACTGCCACTAAACGAGTCATGCCAACTTTGGAATATTCTATCCTTATGACAATAATCTCACTCAAGTTATGCAGATGCAGGTCATGGGAGAGACATCGATACAAGAAGTCCGATTATAGGCCTCATATACAAGCTTGGCAAATCACCCATAGATTGGTCAAATAAAAGGCAAGCCACAGTTGCTCTCAGCACTACCGAAGGTGATTACTGCGTGCTCTTTGAAGTAGCAAAAGACGTCATTCATCTTAGACGTATGCTAAAGGAATTAAAAATTATTTGTGCAAATCCATCACTTATACTAAGTGATAATCAGAGTTGTATAAGGCTGGTTGACAACCCTATATTGCACTCTCGTACAAAACATATAGAGATCCAGTACCACTTCATTCGAGAAAAGAGTCTAGCAGGTGATGTAATCGTTGATTACGTACCAAGCTCTGAACAGCAGGCCGACATATTAACGAAACTATTGGACACATTTACATATGGTTGCATGCACAAAGCAATCAACATTACTCCTATACCATCTTCAAACTAGTGCTATAAGTTAACCTCTCATGTATCGTTCTGGGAAAAACTGTCTCTGAAACCTTTAAATTGTGCCCCTCTGAAGCTAATCACCTGTGATTTGCACTCATCCCACGACTCATAAATACCGGTTGAAACCCTATGCGAACAGCATAGAACTTCCAAAGCTTCGACTCAATACTGAATTCATTTCTTGTTTTTCGACTTCTTACAGAGCCAGAAGAGGCTTCCTCCTTAGATTCATCTCTCATCACAAAATTACATACAATATAGCAATATATGCTCTAGCAATATAGCGACAGCAGAGAAGACACTTGCGTAGCCTCGACGTATCACCATTGCCACCATCCATAAGCCTAGTATAAACAGTTCACACTATTTCAAAAGTCAACGAATTGCTCAATCAACGAGAGAACTAATAACCCAAGTCTAATAGAAAACAAAGAAGACTAACAGCCTGCATATCCTCGAACTCTCGACGCCAATGTTCCATAGTAGCTAGAAGCAATGAGCTCCAATGTGAGAGGGAGTGTTGATTGTAGTACATAGAAGCTCATTTGAAGATAGTCACCCTAGTAAAAATGTATCCAATAAAATATCTTTTCTACGAGTAACTCGCAGACTGCCAGTGTCGATTGACTCTTCGAGTTCCGATTGGCTCTTCGAGTCCCACTAGCTGCACACAGTAATTGACACACAGTTGCTCTCTTGTACTTAAATCAATCAATCCTCAGTATACCATATTATCTCAATCATGTAGTTCTTTATCAGTTCTTTACTTCAGCGATTCCAACTGGTGAGGATTTCTGGTGGGTTTACTACAGCTATTATTTTCAAGATGCTTTAAGTCGCTTGAATGTTGGAGAGAATTGGATTTTGCTGTAACTGAGGATGCTTTAAATATCATCCTATCGTGCATTCTGATGAAGTATTGCTGGAACTAAATCTTATCTACGAAGTGTTGGGATTGAACAGCGACGCGGGTGGGAGAACTCGTGACCTTTTCTGTTAGTGTAACATGCAACTAGTGAAAACGCCGGGTGTGCATGAAGCTGTTGTAAGGTGACATATCTTGTAACTGGAAAAATCTCCTGTGCCTTTAACAGTGCACTCATACAATCTTCAGATCAAGTTCTGATTGCGAATCCCACTCCCAAACTAATTGCATCTACTTATCTTTTCATTAGTTCATTTTCAATTTTCAAAATAATGTCTGAATATTCTCTGTTACGTTTGACTTTGTTTGCAACCGCCAACCTCGTTGTCAGTGACTGATTTCGTTTCCTGATTCCGATTCAAGGCAAGCATGCTTGTGCAGGCAATGCCCACTTCCTCATCGAGTCATGCTGGGACAGTGTAGCTTGGCACGATGGACGCGATAATGTATGTCAGTACCCCAGCACGACCAGGAACACAACTGCATGGGTTTTGAGCGATCCCATAGTGAAGTTTCAGCGTCCCAACAACCCTGGGAGTGGACAGAGAGACTGACCTTAATCGCAGCGAAAGAAAAGGGTTTTAAATAAATAAATAAATAAATTTCAAAAAATTAAAAAATAAATAAATAAATAAATAAATAAAAATCTAGACAAACCCGCGAAGTGTACTGTCCTCTCTGAACGGTGCATTACTCAGACTAGATACCAGAGCCCCTGGTAAATGCTCACCAGTCTTACTAGAATAGACCCCGCTCATTCGCCGAGAAGCGAACCCACAGTCCCGTCATTGCAGGCTTGTTACTTGACGTTTCTGGTGGCTGTATCTACCTGTACTGTACTGTGTGTCCGCCCAGTTCCGGTTCTAGAATGCACCATTTACCATCAGAAAAAAAAAACAAAACAAAACAAAACAAAAACAACAACAACAAGTGTGCACGAGAATGTAGGTACTGGTACTATCTCGTACTGTACCGCAGGAATCAATAGTCCAGTTGTGGCACTGGATCTGCAGTACCTTGTGAGTGTGAGAGAGAGGTACGTCGCCAAGGGCCATGTCGCATTGCTCCTGCAACATCCAACAAGTCTGCATTGAATGCACGTTCATCATTGTCATCTGCCGTTGTAACCTCACCCAAAATATGGCCATTCATTCCGTATCTATTCATTCTGTATCTATTTATACCGAATGTTTATGTATATATATATATATATATATATATACATTCATTTAATATGTTTCAAAACATGGCTATTCATTTCGCATATTCATTTCGCACGGATAGGGACTATTGCTATGGCTGCTTGAGCCGAATGAGTCTTGTCATTGGAAGAGATGGAATTGGATATATTCATTTAATGTGTTCCAACCTCTCGAGTGTGAGTTTTTGGAGTGTCTTACTTGCTTTTTATAGTTTGAGGACAAAGTGAGAGGCTTTACTTTTTGAATGCTTTGATTGGTTGAAATCTAGAGGCCTAGTAATAGCTGGCTTTATATTTAGAAAAGTTACTATATCTTTGTAAAGTTCTTTTAAGTATTTTTTTCTTAATTTATATCAGTTAATAATATTTATTATAATATATATTTTGTATTTATATTTATATAAAAAAATAGTACAGTTCTAATATGTAACAAATCTTAAATTTTACTTCTAAGTCTTATTTGATCTTTTGGTATTTTGGCACTTCTTTGATAAGAACAACACATTGTTTAAAATATTTTAAATATAATCAATTACCTCAGCAGCTTTCTAATATTTTTTACATTCATTATTTTTAGGTTGTTAAATTTTAAATGACAATGCATTGTTTTTTTTCTTAGATGTAACTTCTATAATACATATTTTGGTGTGGTTTTGAAAATATTGTCTTTATATTATTTATTAGTTACTTGTGTGTAATTTTTTAAAATTGATTTAATCTATTTTTTTATTTTGAATCTTTTTAAAATGCATCACCTAATAAAAATCTAAAATTCTGCTATAATCAAGTAAATATCCTTTTTATGCATAGATCAATTTCAGTAACCTATTACTTCATGTTGATTGCAATACAAAGTCGTTAAATTTTTAATCTAACAATAAATTTTGTTGCTTAGAGGTAATTTTTAATATTTTTAAAAATTTAAATCTTACTATATTCTAAGATATAATACTAACTTATGGATTTTAAGCATTAACTTGGAATGGTTTTTAAAGCATATTTTTTACAAACAAATTTTGATCAAATGATTTTACTTTATTCTTATGTGATTGAGTAATTTTGATTTATTTTTACAAATGTTTTATTGAGTTTAGAAATGTTGTTGAACTAACTCATATATTGCAATCAAGAGTTACTTGTAAACTTATCATGTATTGCACATAAAATACTTTTTTTGATAATAATTATTTATGGAATATTTAGTAAATTTTGATTTTTGGCAATAGTTTTAAAATTATCAACAAAATATGAGGTTGAATATTACCTTACAAATTTGAATCTAAGTTTGGGCTGAAATTTTGAAATATTTTATAAATTAATTGAATATTCTAAAAATTTCGAAAAAAATATTTTATAATTTTTATAACCAATACAAGATTTTGAAGCATATTTTGGTATACAATATTTGTATACAATATTTGTATACAATATTAAATTGATAGGTTTATGAATTTCAAATGCGATATAACAATCTACCAAATACAGTTATTATATTGAATCTAAAAAATATCATATTTGGAATTATTAATATCAAATGAAATATACTTGTAATAATTGGTACTTGTAATAATTCTTTGAATGTTTTTATCATTTTCTGTATATATATATATATATATATATATATATATATATGTATATATACCTTTGAACTTTTATAGAATCTTAAAATTTTCATTCGAAGTAATAAATAATATATGTATATGGGAAGGGGAGGTCCTTTAACATTCACTGAAATCTTAAATCTGGAACTTCACTGTAGAAATATGAATTTTGTGAAAGTTTGAAAATTTCACAAAATTCTATAAATCAATCACAATAGTTTTGAAACGATCATCTCTACAATTCACATCTTCCAGTAATTACACGTCATTGTAGAATGGGTGCATCTTTTCTACGGATGGCTTTGAAGATCATTGATATCGTGAAGAGTGTATTTAAAAATAATATTCCTTAGATATTGTGAAGTGGATTACGACAAACTGTTGACACAACAATTTTCCACCCACAAGATTCATTTTCAACAACATGAAAAGATTCTTGAGGTGGGTACAAGTAGGGGCATCTCCTCTGAGTAAAGTGCGTACTGATTCTTACAAAGAGAAGCACCACCTGGAATGAGCATGTAAACTAAACCGATGTCTCCAACGGACCAATAGCTCCAAACTTAAGATACACAAGACTAGAAAGCAGCTGAAGACTTCAACAGAAGCCATGAAAGAAGGATCAGCATCACAATCAACTCCTCAATAATAAGTGAACAGTAAGATGATAATTTACATTGCTAGGTGCTCAGAAACTCTAATACTTCACAACAGGTGAAGTCATGTCATCCTTATACCATAACCTCCAGTTAAAATATGAGGCTATGAAGAAGTAATTCCTACCCCTCAGGAGTGGTAGCAGCACCCGTACCTTTTACAAGAATACTTTAATAAAGTAGACGAAGCCTCTGGCGGAACATGCACAAATAGAAACATACATCATTGTCAAGCTATATCATTGGCTTCACTAAGTGAAGAACAAGCGAAGGCTAACCAGAATCCTCTTGTACGTGTACATCTGATTCTCGTCTCCTCTTCCTATTCGAAGCTTTTATTTGCTCAATTTGCAACTGCAATTGCAGCTGTCGACTCTCGGCTTCCTTCCTCCGCAGAAGCATCTCCTCCCGTTGGAGATCAAGCTTCTTAATTTCAACGTCCAGTTGCTTACTTTGTATTTCCAAGTGCTTGGTTTGTATCTCAAACTGCTTGTTTTGCCAATCAGCTTGTAAATGAAGCTTCTTTTCACCTACTCTGCGATGGAATTCCAAACTCTTTGAAACAGTTTGGTTTTCACCAGATTGGCTCCAAGGATTACATCTTTGCTGCTCCTCGATGTGACCAATTGCTCCTCCACCAGCTCCAGCTCTTCTGGACGCCGCTCCTGCAGATCCACTCTGTTTCGACATCTTGTTCGAATGCAATCCGGGTGTAATCGAGGCTGGGGATTCTCGAGCCGGTTCACCCCCTGTTGGTTCACTTTTGCCGTGAATGTTGTCCATGATTGATCCGCGATTCGTAACTGTGGATCCAGGTGTACTTGGGACTGGAGTTGAAGGAGATGGCCCAGACGAACGGACACAATCTTCCGACCTTTCCACTTTTTCACCAGAATCAGTATGGTTCCCCGATCTAGAATCAGCTTCCTCAGTATTCCCACCCTTTTCCACGGGACTCCCCGACCTAAAATCAACTTCCTCATCATCTCCACCCTTTTCCACGTGGGTGGTTGAGTCGTCCAATACTACAGGCTTCGAATCCACTGGCTCGCTAGGAACCTGCGGACGTAACAAGTCCAACTGCGCTTCGGATGTCTGCGGCACTACTACTGCTGGTTCCTCAGACATTCCAGCTTGAAGGCGCTCCCAGAAAGGACAGGCGGACAGCACCTGTGCCTTAACCTTTGGATCCTTCATAACTGCGGAATTATTCATACCTAGTTTGACAATGATATCATTAGCTTTTTTATAGGTGTCTTCGAGGTGTTTTATCTTGTTCTTCACCTGTATATTGGTTTTAGAAATGCCGCGGCTTTGAAGATACTCCACGATGCACTTTATCAGTCGCATCTTAGGCAAAGCATTTTTGTCTCCACCATTCACCTTATTATTTCGTCCCGCATTTTTCAGCTGTGAGTAGTGTGCCGGGGATCCGATCCACTCGAGAAGCACATCAATCGAATGCACGTCCCACTTCTCATAATTGCGTGATTCCACATCTTCAGCTCTCGTGGCGGTGAGATTCACAAGAGGCGGAGGATGTCGTGGAATAGGCAGCCGTAGTGTTCTATCCATGCTGGAGGGAGTAAAGTTGCTCATCTGAGAAGTGCCAATAGACTGGCGTACTACATGTTCAAGTTGGCCGTCCTTGCAGCCATCATGACAGACTTGAAGAGGTGAACCAGGTATAAAATGAACTTCAGCCTATCGAAGACAATTGCACATTTAAAACACCTTGAATTGCACCAAGGATGCAGGGGAATCTTATTCGGGGACCACCCCACAGCGCGTCTACATTATGCCCCAAATTCCTGAAGCAGCGAAGAATAAACAACTACATGAGAAGGTTAATTGATCCAGCATATCACAATTTCCAATACCAGAGGCGCGGTGAAAAGGATGAGATGATTGAAGTTCTACAAATTGACAAGGTAACAGAAGAATAAGTATGTTACTAACGTTTCACGGATTTATTGATGTACTCTGATGACACCAGATTGGCCGTAGCAATAATTCAAAAGGAACCAGCTACAGCACAAACTTTTCACTGTTAAGTGGTCTCCAAGAGGAGAGTGATTTAAAACACTTATTTCAATCACTAACACCATCTCACACAAGTCGCAATCCCGTATCAAATACCTTGACGTCAATGGGGTCCAAGGAAAAATCTACTAGCCATTCTATTCCATGCACGATTAAAAGGATATCAGGAGATTGATTCTGAGACTTTGGTTTTGAGCTATAGTGACCGGCATGTGACTCTTTGTTACAATTCCGCTTGCCGCTCGAAACAATCAAAAAGATGGTGATCTAGATGTTGCAGGAACCGCGACATGCACAGGATTCGAAAGAAATCATACAGTTCAGCGCCCACTTTAGATGATTCTATCCCGAAAAGCTGAGGTAAAGGTAAGGACCATTCCTCCAGAACGGTTAATCTGAAGCATTGAGTGGAGTCGAAATTTGAGTTACATCCTAACATGACATGGTAATGATGATCGACGTAGTATCACTCCAGGCTGGAAGATAGTGAAAAGCGTTGAAATCCTTCTAGTTTCTAGAAATTGAAGAAAATTCCTATTCCACCTTGTCCACTTTCTTCCCCTGGTAAGGAATGATTCACTGCTCTATGTTTGTTTACATCACCTACAGAATTCACCGACACATCGTCATTGAAGGACTTTAAAAAAACGGAAGAAGAGAATCATGGGTAAATGCAGGAACTCCAAAGGACAAAACACAAGCCCTCTATCAACATAATATTCAACATACAGTCTGCGAGAAAATTTTCATCAGTGCTGAAATTCCATGTCAGTGGACACTGTAGTCAGAGACAGTAACCAACTCATGACTCGTATTAACCTCTCTCCAAACCCTAAACAATTATCCACGAAATCTGACAGAAAGGTGAGAAATCACTTACAATTCATACAGCAAAGAATTGTACCCTTACTGCAAATCAGCGAGGGAGTGCAATTCGTGCACACTCCGTCCGCTGAATGCCTGCAGAACAGATTCATTCCGCATGAAGATGAAACCAAAACCCTAAATTCTCGTCACAATCACAACCCCGGGAGCTGCAACCAAGACTCCTCGCTGAAGGCTTTCCCAGCTGGCTTGTAATTTACGCTAGAAACTAACCTACGGAATCGCAAAACGGAGCTTCCCGCATGGGCTTGAGGTTGAGATTGAAGCTCCAGACAAATTAAGAAAATCAGTCAAAAACCAAGCTGATTCTTAAACATGAGTGTAAAATTTTGGTATCTTGAGAAGGCGAAATGACAAAATTCTCGCAAACCCAGAGAATGATAAAAGAGGAGAGAGAGAAGTAAACGGAATTGGGGGAGTGTGAAGTGGCGAGTTAGCGAAGGATTCTGTGAGTCAAGCTCCTGACACAGCAGAGACCACACGTAAGTAGAGGTTTCGGCTAAAGAAAAGAAAGGCTCCCTTCACAAAGCAGCGTTGCGGCATATTCTAGAATCCACATCCCCCTGCTCTCATCCTTCATCCATATTTTCATCTCAATTTCATTCATCCACGCACAAGCAAGAGGGTTCTCCGTCTGGTCATCATGATTTGGATTCTGGATGCGTCCCGTTTGTAGGTGAAATTGGGTTGGGATTATTATAATTAAGAGTCAAATTCGTAGGAAAGTTATTGCTAGGAATTATTAATTTTTAATTGGGCAATCATATTCAGATTTTTTTATGTTCGTTTAAAGAATCAAATTGGTTAATACATTTTTAAAAATGAGATTTTTTGTATTAGTCATTGAGTGTTTGTTGGTGGAGTTAATTTCAAGTATTGTTCAGGTTTTTTTTATTGGCTTAAAAAAACACATGAGATTTTTTCATTAAATTTTTTTAGATACCTCAGGACATAAATATTTTGAATATCCTAGCAAATAATTAGAAAAGCTAATGAGATATTGCTTGAACAATTAAACTTAAATTATCAATTTTTTATTATAGAAATCAGTATATGATAAAATTACACATGTGGATATGTGTGTGTATATATATATATATATATATATACACACCCACATACAACATAACTACATGAGTCATGACACAAGTATTAATTTGAAAATGAAAGCCAAAAAATCATTACAACATCATTTGACTTTATTTGATGTTATGAGATATTTATTCGATCTATTCTTTTAGTCTTTTCTGTTTAAAAAATACAATTGATGTAAAATTTTGATTTTCTTAATAGTAATATTAAACAATCAGTAAAACATAATATTATATTTTACATATATTTATTAAAATTATACTTTATCAAATCTAACATATTTAAGAATCAATTTTACAGGCATGTGTATAAATAATTACTTTTTTATATAGATACATGAGTATTTATGTCAAGTGTGCATTTAAATTAATGCTATAATTTTATAGGTGTATTTAAGAAAATATAAATATATATATATATATACAACAATAAAGGTTTGAATAATCCAGCTATAATTTAGAAACTATATTTTTTTTTATTATTGCATATTGATTTTATGATACCATAAGTTCAATAATGCCTATAAAATAAAGCATAAAACTCTTTTGAAGGTTGTACTAAAATAAAATCATGTCAAAAACAAAGCTAGCAAAAGATATGTGTGTTTTCATAAACTCTTTTTTTTAAAACATTTCATTTCTTTTGTTATTTTTTAGATGGTAGAATGTTATCGATTTGTTATTGTATTAACACTTATTAATTTCATTGGCATAGCAAACATGCATGTAGCAAATAATTCAACAAAAATAGATAACAATAAGAAGCAATATAAGAATTTCTTTTTACTATTTAAAAATGGATATTAGATGGCATATAAAACATGACACAACAATTTATAGATAGATTGTCTATATGCAACAAAGACCTTATTATTTTAGATCTAGTCATATAAAAAGTACAAAAAGAACACTTAAACTTATCAAACGTCTTGCATACATAATAAGATGTAAAATTTGTAATAAGAAAGTCTTTGTAAACTACCTTCTAATGAGACTTTCTATTTACTTATATACATAACTTTAATTCTAAACCAATTACAAATTCATCAACTTTTATATGAAAAAATAAAATCAAAAATATCATTAAAAATTTTAAAAAATAATTTATAAATTCCTATTTTTAATAAAATTTTATAAAATATACTAATTCTATAGATATACTAATAAAAACTAATAAAAATCATGCAATATATGTCATAGATATACATATTTATTCTAATTATTATCTATATGATTAAATAGAAGTAGATAAAAATAGATTAATTTCATAATATCATTTAGATTAGCTTCTTAGAAGCTTCATACACGCAATATTGACTTTACATACATTTGTAGTTGTTTGGTAGGTTAAAAACTTGATTAACAAGTAAGTCATGTATTACATATATTAATAGCTTATAGAATAAGCTAACTATATGGTGCACATATAAAAAACTTGTTTTGCAAGTTAAGACATGTGTTAAGCAAAGTCAACACGTATTGGAGGTCCTCTAGAACATCACCACATAGCTCTTAATTAGATAGTATATATGGAGGCAAGAATAAAGCCTTCTCCACTCTTGTCAAGACCTTTTTAATTTTTAATCTTGTTTCAAGATTTTCTAATCTTTATGTCTTTAATAATAGCCATTTTAGTTTAATATTATATCATCTTTAAGTGATTATCTAGTCTTTTTGAGTGAAACAAGAGTGTCTTGATTTTTCAATTTTTCAAGATTTATGTCCTTAATAATTTGACAAGAATGCTAAATTATTATTTTTATCTTTTTTTAAGAGTATATTATTCCACTTCTGTTATTGTATTTTGAAGGTTGCAAACTACATACCTATAAACAAATAGTTTAGTTTTCTAATATTAATTTTTTTTTTAAAATGAGTAGATTATCCCTCTTTGTGAAAATTTTCATTTGATATTAGATATTGTGGATTATCCTCTTTTAATTTAACTTTTTGAAATTTTTTGAGTTATCTATGGGAAAAAAAAAAAAAAAAAAAAAAAAAAAAAAATTACTCTTGGTGGTTGCCAAAGAGGATGACATATTTGAAAACAAGTTTTTTGAACTACAATAGAGACTATGTAGTTAGAATCTTACATAACATATAAAAAAGGTCCTATTTTTTCCTCAAATCCCTCACTTTGTTTTACAATAGAAGTTTGTTTACGACAAAAAAATCACAAAGTTTTAGCATTGTTCAATTCAAGAACCTTAGCTTATTTTATAGACAAAGACTTTGTCAAAAAACAAGAAATATCCTTAGTTAAAAAATCCAAATATATGTATGGTCGTGCATTGTCTTTTGAAGATGTTACACATGAAATTATTCTTTTAGATGTAACAATGAGTGGTCATAATAGTTTAGTATTATTTAATGTAATTATATTTCTTTTCAATCCAATTATTTGAAGATTATCATAGCTAAAAAAATATACTTGTCAAATAAATTGGATTTTATCTAATCTTAATTATTTTCATAATTTTATCCAAGATTTTTTTAAGCAAGTAGAAATCTATAAGACCAATATATTAAAATCATTATTATTATTAATATATTCAAATCATGCATGTTGTAAAAGAAATGTCAACTTTTGCTATATGCTCTACAACTATTGTTGATGGAGATAAAAATTCAAGTAGCATTCTATGCAAATACCAAGATTATCAAGACATTTTTTTTTTAAATGTAGATATTCTTCCAAAATATTGTCCATATTATTGTTCTATTGATCTTCAAGAACGAGATCAATCACCATTTGGACAAATCTATAGCCTATCAGAGAACAATTTTTTTGTATTTAAGGAGTACACTCATAAAAATTTAGCTAAAAATTTCATACACCATTCTAAATTTCCAATTAGGGCTCCTATATTATTTGTGAAAAAAAATATGGATCTTTGTAGAAGTTTGTGAAATATCAAAGACTCAACAAGATCGCCATTAGGAATAGGTATTTTCTACTTTTGATTTTAAGACTTCTTAATCAATTGAATCAAGTAAAGATCTATACAAAAATAAATCTTCAAATAGCATACAACTTGATATGCATTAAAAAAAGAAATGAATAGAAAATTATGTCTTAAAATAATTATAAATATTTTAAACTTATGAATGCATTAGTTACTTTTTAATATCTAATAAATAATATATTTTGTGAATTTTTTGATGATTTTATCATTTATTATTTAAAAAATATCTTAATTTATTTTAAGAACATAGAAGAGTATAAAGTTCATGTTCATAGTATATTAAAAAAATTAATAGATGTAAGATTATATGCCAAGATAAAAAAAAGTGTATATTTTAAACTACTTAAGTTGATTTCTTAAGATACATTACTTCAAACAATGGTCATATGATGGATCCTAAGAAGGTCCAAACTATCTTAAATTGAAAGATCTCAAAAACAATCAAAGATGTGCAATATTTTTTAAGATTTTCCAATTATTACTAGATCTTGATAAAAAAAAACTTTTTTTAAGTTGTAGTTCTTTTTATATGCATGACATATAAAGATAAACTTGAATAAAGCAAAGAAGTTGAAGCATCTTTTGAAGCCTTGAAGACAACATTTATTTTTAGATCAATATTGTATTGTATCAACTTTTTCAAGGTATTTTTTTATAGAAATAGACACATCAAATTTTGCTATAGGTATTGTTTTGTCACAAATAGGAGTAGATGACAAGTTCTATCTTATAGCTATTCATTTTAGAATTTTTTTTGTAGTCAAGTTTAACTATAAGATCCATGACAAAGAGCTTCTTGTAATTATAGATTCATTTCAAGAATAACATCATTATCTAAAAGGCATTTTTAGTCTATTCATCATGTATACAAATTATAAGAACATTAAATACTTCATGATAGCACATATTTTGAATTGTTGCAAAGATCATTGGAATATGTTTTTATCAAGATTTGATTTTAAGATTACTTATCAATCCATAAAACAAGGTTTGTTGGACGCTCTTTCTAGATATTCTTATTTTGTATCAAAAGAAAGATATATATAGATTTTGATCATCAAAGAATGTTTATTGTGAAGTGAGAGCATTTTTAGCTTTGAGCAATGATATCAACATTGATTGTTGACTCAACCTTTTTTAAGAAAGTTGAATTGAATATTTCGTCTAATCTTCTTATTGTCACGGACCAAAAATACAAACAAGAAATCTAAACAAGAAGTTCAAGAAGAAATGACAAGAACTAGATTATCGGATGAGAACAAGAGCAACGCCAAGAGAATTGAGCTAGAGCTTCAAGAGATGTGTTGTCGAGACTGAAGAACTCTTCAGCCTCGACTCCTATATATACTACTGGCCTATGGTTCTAAGGAAGCGCATCAAGAAGCTTCCCAAGAACTATGAAGCTTCTCGAGCAACTACCCAAGAGCTAGGAAGCTTCTCAA